ACATATGTAAACTGATAAAAAACACAAAAGTTATTAACTTTTCAAATATATATACAATTCAATAGTTATAATAAAGAATGATATTAAAATGCAATTAATGCATGTAACATGACCATAAATAGTCAACATATTTATGCTAATTCGAACCTAATTATTTTTTGTTTGGAATTAAATTAAAATTTACCCAAGCCTAATAACGAAGCATGTAATTTTGCCACATAAGATTTCGAAGCACCAGAAACAGCCACATAGACTCAACGCGTTCTGGATTAATATATAGGGGGATTTTTTTTTTTTTAAATTCTGGCTACGATCTATTAAGTGTACATGTTTTGAGTTTTATTTTTATTTTTTTTTAGAAACAACGAACAACATTAAAATCTCAGTCTCTATTTTTATAGAATCTCAATTCAAAATAAGGTAACAAAAGTTTTAGAATATCGTCTTTATATTCGTGTCTTTCAAACAAAAAATATTGAACGTTGTTATTTAATTATCATTTTTCACAAATCATCACATTTTATTTATTTGGAACGTGTGATAATAAACTTGGTTCAATTGTTTGTTTACCAATCTATTGTTTTTTTTCTAAACTATGTTTCAAAAGGTAAAATAATTTTCAAATTCCCAGTTTCAATAGTTGTGCATTCCAAAATAAAATATTTAACGATAATTTTTTATCTGTTAATAGTACATGATTTTTAAAACTGAATTATAAAGTGTATGTTTATATCCAAATCAGTTTATAATGCAGCCGACTTTACTAAATCTTTACGAAAATATGGTAAAATAAAATGAGGCGACCAATTTTTTATGAAAATAAAATAAAATGAATAATCAATATGAAGTTCACAGGTAATGAACATAATTAGTAATTTGACTAGTACACGGATCGCAAAATTAATACTTATGTGGATTCTAAAATTCAAACTTATACTTACCATCATCTTTTGAAAATTAAATAATATATTGTAGACAAGATTTTTTTTTTTAAAAAAAAATTAGTCATGTTTTCTTTATAAAATAGTTTAGAAAAGTTCTAGGTGACTTCACATCTTTCAATAATGATATATAAAATTTTAGATACTTTACATACGTTATATAGTATTTTAGATGTTTTTAATATTTCAAACATACATTTTTATGTTATTTTATACTAGATAATTTTATATTGTTTACAACTGTTATACGATAAATTATGTCACATATTAACTCCACATCTTAATTTATAATTATTAGCTAATATTGTTTACTCTCATATTTAATTTATAATTATTAATTAATATTGTTCCTTATATTTAATTTAAATAACAATTATAAATTAATTTATAACTAATACGTATCCCGTACTAGTTATCAATTAAATAATTCCATTTTATCCTCGGTTGGAAGCACTGTTTTAAAAACCGGCCTAGGCAACCGTCTAGGCGGCGCATAGGCGCTAGGCGGTGCCCGGGCGACTTCGTTTTGAGCAAATAGGCAGAAAAAATCAGCCAGACGGCTAGGCGGCTCCTAAACGGACTTGGCGGGCTCCGCGGCTAGGCGGCGCCTAGGCGGGAATAGGCAGACCTAGGCGCTCCTAGGCGGGCGCGGTGGCAGTTTTTCAGTTTTTTTTTTTAAATACTAATTACATTATTTTGTTTTCATGTTTTCTTTAAAATATATTAATATTATTATTTGGACTTATGTGTGTCGATTTCTTATAAGTTGAGATAATTTAAATTTGTAGGTAGTTAAAATAAATAGAAAATAAGGTATTTAATATTAATATCTAGGTCTCAACTAGGCCCCGTCTAAGCGCTCTACGCACTAAGCGTTGGTCGAGCGCCTAGCGACCTTTAGAATACTGGTTGGAAGAGTATTCTTGTCGGATAATTAATGTTGACCAAATTTATATTATATTCACATTATATATTTATATTATTTTTAAGTTAGACAAAATTTTATGGTTTTAATTTACAAAATTTGATAAGTTACTATTTTAAATCAGTTATTTAGTTAGTTTATAAAATTATTATATGTAGCGAGTATTTTTGGTCCGGGGAAGAAGCCTTATTGCTTCGGTAATTTTTTTTGTTTTTTGTATTTTTTTTTTCCTGTGTTAAAATGTTGATGTGTAAAGTAACTTGAATAAAATATCCAATCCTATCAACAAAAGTAAATGAGGCCATAGTGTTCTCTTCAATTTCTGGTTGATAATAAGATGAAATGTTTGTTTCTTCCCATTTTGTATCATATTACGGTATCACTTTTTATGGATTCTTTCTTCGATCTGCTTGATTTTTCTTTATCCGCTGCAAATCCTTTTGGTTCGAACTCTAGATTTTTTTTTATTTTCGTTTCGATTTTGTCTGGATTTAGTTTCGATTGGTTTTAATCTGTTCTATCTGTCTCAATTTATATACGGATCTATCCTAATTAGTTTCAATTTGTTCCAATAGTTGATTTCTAAATCTATTCATATGTTTGATTCTATGAGGAATGTCGTCGATGTGCACATATAAATCTATTAAAAATAAATCTTAATGCAGTGGAATATATAGTTAGGATTATGACTTTTAGTTTAAAATTTTTGTCGACTCTGTACGACCATACACAGTCTACGGGGCAAGACGGACAGTTTAGAGTTGTTCTTCACAAAAGACTTCTCGTTTACTTGCCTCGTTGCTTGTCGTTCCCATCTCATCGAGTCGCTCGTCCATCGCGATCACCGTGTCACGTCTCCCGGTGTCCGAGTCACGTCTCGCATCGCCTTTGGCTTACTAGACTGTTATTGGACCGCACACGAGTTGCTGGAGGTGGTCTGGACTCGCCATGGGTCACTTGGTGCATGGACGGCTCACCTACGGTCAGCTGGTGCGCTGGTTGCCGAGGCTTTCGCGGTCTATACGCGGATTCTCGAGACATAAAGTTGGCTGGACACTGGTTGTCGATATATTGCCCTGCGGGCTAGAATATTTATAATCTCATTGATGTATTGTGTTCGAACATATGTGCAACTAATGTAGAGTATGTACTTTAATAATTTTTCATGCCTCGGAGGAAGGACATATAACCAAGATTATAGAAAGTCAACTTTTATTTAGAGATGAAATTTGTTCACACCTAATGGATATATAGAGAGAAATGCAGTATTTTATACAATGATAAAAAAAAGTATCAACAATTTTAATGTCAGGGTTATTTATTTCACAAAGATATCATGAACTATTAATTAAAACACCTTGTAAAGATCATACAACCATTAAATTTAAATGTTGATTGAGGTTGTAACATGTCATTTCATGCTTTTTATACTAAGGCATCATTATGTTATTTTTGGGGGAAAATACTTTTGGGGCTCGTATGTTCTACCTTTTATTTCGTTTCTGCAATAACATATTTAATAAATTAATTAATTTATATTACTAACTTAACTGACAAAAAACATTCACCACTGCGTGCATCACACGTGCACTTTACTAGTTATATAAAAAGAAACAAAATGTGATTTTCAAAATTAAAATACCAATAAGAATATTAAAAAGAATTAATTCATGGTCATTTAACAACCAGAAACCCCATGTAATCATATGCTTCTAATCATTAAATATAATCTAAAGTCGC